CCAGTTCCCCTGCTACTGCACTTACCGCAGAGTCCTGGGTACTTCGGGGAGCAGGAACTGTCAGCTGGGCAGGCGGAACACGGCGACCCCCGACGATACAACTGCTGCCGAATGATGTTTCCACCAGGACCGTAGTTGCAGGTATAGAGCTTCTTCCACCAGCTGCCCTCCTTAAACATGGAGAAGCCGCATCCTACCTTGTATGAGGTCCCCCACACCGCTTGGGTGTAGTAACCCGTTTGACCCGAGAATCTGTCGGAATTGCGATTGATTTTGGATTACCTCGAGTTTTAATCCAGTGGGCATGGTCAGCTTTGCACCGATGTCATGCAATAGTAGATTCCCCTTATTTTTGCCGTGCTACCATTTTTAATGTGGTACATTTATGAAAATGAGGCATTACTGTTTTCAGTAGAAAACTGAGGCACCTGTGAATCTATGTTTTGACGATGAGAATCCCATTTTACCACGGATATTCAGTTGCGTTTTTGTGTCGATTATTGTTATTGGAAACTGCGATTCTTATATTGTATTGCATATTTCATGCTTCCTAACCTCCGTACTCTTGCGTAGTAGGCTGTCACCTCGTGGTAGAGTGATGTCTTTAAAAACATGTTATTACACAGTATTTTTTCACATTTCGCATTCCACTATGTGGTTAATATATAGTATACTGCAATAAGAATATTAAAATACGCTTTATAGTGTGTACAAGCAAGCTGTCAAAAAGAATAAAATTTGATTAGGTAAACCGATATATAGTCTGAATAATATCAGTTTTACTCCATCATACATGTGTGTGTGTGTGTGTGTGTGTGTGTATGTGTGTGTGTGTGTGTGTGTGTGTGTGCACCAAGTCCACAAAAGGTGAGTTTGCATGGTACCCGCTACAAGGTCGACTAACTTACCGAAAAGGTTCAACGTCTGACGAGTTGAAATCACCGACCTCATCATACCAGGCCTGGATGGCATCCTCCCACTCGATACTGTTGTCGAAGTTGCTCTGCAAGCTTATATGAAGGTTCTGCCCAACACCAAATCTCCCTGAAAGCGCACATGAACCTCTTCGCCTGATCAATGATAAGGTCAGCTTAGAAGTTGAATAACAATGTGAAAATAATAATAATAAGCGAAGCAGTACTTACGGACACGACGGCAGTCCGAACACTCATGCTCCAAGATACATTGGTCGGCATGACCCTGAGCAACCAAAGCCAGCTCGTCGTCCCATTCCTGCAACAGATCAGAAACCTCACTTGCTTGCACTGTCTCGAATGCTGCTCAACATTTTTTCTTTTTTTTCTTTTTTTTTGTCATGACTCCTACTCAAGTGCGTTTTCACCTATATTTCCCCCGAACCTACCATCAGCCTCATGTTGGCTGCCTGCGGCTGCGGCCCGGGCGCTCCACGGCCCTCCTGCCCCATGGCCACCCGGGACCGCAGCTGGTTGTGTTGCGCCACGATAAGGGCGGCGTCCTGGGCACTCACGCCTCGCCCCGGCACCTGGGACCCGCAGGTGGGGCCGAGGCCAGACGCGCCGCACAGCGTGTGCTCGGGCGTGAAGCTGCAGTAGGGGGACTGCCCTGCCGCCCATCCCGCCCACGCCGTTATCGTTAGCAGCAAACACAGCCTTTGGATCATTGTAAACTGCATCGAAAGTTAAGCAGGTATTAGCAGGATCTTAAACAGAGTAATGAATTTAATTGCTAATGAGAAATGTTAAGCAATTTGGTACTTTGGAGCGCAAACAATGGTTAAATCAAATTACCATCCAGTCATTTAGCACCACTTCTTATGTTTCCATACTGATAACGTATCAGTGTTATCAAAATGATATTTATTCGCATTCCATTGTTTACTACAGAATTATCTACCTGAAACTGAACGTTTCTAAATTATATCTTCATAAAATGGAGATGACCAAACAACCTCGTAATACTACGCATGCCTCAGTCGAATTCAAGATTTCAAAAAGATCTGTAGACCTTTGCGAAGTTTCTAAATATGGACATACAATTCTAGCCATTCTTAGATAACCAACTAACCAATCACTGATCACTTTAACATTCAGCCAGTTTTCAATTAAGGCAAAAGTACTACTGAGTCTTCAGTTTAACGCGAAAACATCATATAGTCTTCAGTCTAACGCGAAGATACTACGTAATTTTCAGGCTAATACAAAGAAATTATACATAGTTTCTTTTTAATCTAACGTTTGCCCTCCCCACAGCCGCCACGGTGGCCAACGTTGAGCAGTTTATCATTCAACAATGTTTTGCACTGATCGCTGAAGCAGCTGTGCATGAAAATCGTTACATTATTATTTTCAGACGAAACTGATTAGGGTTTTATTGCATGTTTGCTTAACTCTCTATCCATGAAAGTAACATATTGTTTTCACGCATATATATATATATATATATATATATATATATATATATATATATATATATATATATATATACATACATATATATATATATATATATATATATATAT